ATGAGAAGGCACATCGTGGGGATGTGTGGTTTCTGGATACTGCAGCCTCATACCATATGTCTCCGAACAGGGATTGCTTCACAACCTATGAGCAGATAGATGGTGGTAACGTGGTCATGGCAAATGGAGCTGTCTGCAAGGTTGTTGGAATCGGGTCCATAAAGGTTCGGACACATGATGGTTCGTTCTGTACCGTGAATGATGTCAGGCATGTTCCACGAATGACAAAGAACCTGATCTCCTTGAGTCTACTCGACAGCAAGGGCTTCAGCTTCAAAGGAAAAGGTGGAGTTGTGTATGTCTGCAAGGGTTCGAGGAAGGTACTGAAGGGCGTGAAGCGTGGGACCTTGTATGCATTACAAGGGTCTGTGTTGTCTGGTTCTGCTGCAGTTGCATCGTCTCAGGTTCAACAGGAAGATATGACCACTCTCTGGCACATGAGACTGGGGCATATGAGTGAACGAGGGATGCAAGTTCTGTCAAAGAGGGATCTTCTTTGCGGGCACAAGGTGCAGAATTTGGAATTCTGCGAGCATTGTGTGTTTGGGAAGCTACATCGCAGCAAGTTTCCCAAGAAGGGTATCCACCGGACGAAGGGGATACTGGATTACCTCCACTCCGACTGTTGGGGTCCTTCACGAGTTGAATCCATTGGAGGCAGCAGGTATTTTCTGTCTATTATTGATGATTATTCGAGATTTACTTGGATTTTCATGATGAAGCAGAAAAGTGAGGCTTTCACGAAGTTCAAGCAGTGGAAGACATTGGTGGAGAATCAGACCGGGAAGAAAATCAAGAAGCTGCGAACGGACAATGGTCTGGAGTTCTGCAGTTCTGAGTTCAACGAATTCTACAAGGATGAAGGGATTGCCCGTCATCGGACTGTTAGAGATACACCCCAGCAGAATGGTGTTGCAGAAAGGATGAACCAGACATTGTTGGAGAGAGCACGATGCATGCTCTCTAATGCTGGACTAGAGAGAAGATTCTGGGCAGGATCAGTAAACATGGCGTGCTTCCTGATCAACCGTGGACCTCACACAGGTATCGAGTGTAAGACTCCTTATGAGGTGTGGTATGGTAAGCCTGCTGATTGCTCTTCACTGAAAGTTTTTGGGTGTCCGGTTTATTATCATGTGGATGAGGGTAAGCTGAACCCAAGGGCAAAGAAGGGTGTATTTGTGGGTTACGGAGATGGAGTTAAAGGATTTCGAGTCTGGTCACCTTCTGAGCATCGAGTTATACTTAGTAGAAATGTGATATTTGATGAGAAGTCTATGTTTAACCCCATGTTGAAGGTTACTGTTGTTGAAGGTAGCAGGAATGTTGATAAACAGGTGGAGCTGCAAACTCTCAATGAGAGTGAGTTTGAGCACCAAGGTGGAGAAGATCAACATGATGAGGATGTCTCTGCAGAGCCAGAAGCTTCAGAGTCCAGTGCACGAGCTAAACAGTCTATTGCTTCCGGTAGACCGAAGAGAGCGACTGCAGGAGTACCTCCACAGAGGTATGGCTTCGAGGACATGGTGGCGTATTCATTTCAGGTTGCTGAAGAAGTGGATGCAGGAGAGCCACAGTCCTATAAAGAAGCAGTTTCGGGTGGTGAAGCTGATCAGTGGCTTGCCGCAATGGGAGATGAGATGGAATCCCATGACAGGAATCAGACTTGGGAGCTAGTCAAACGACCACAGGGAAGGAAGATTGTTACAAACAAGTGGATCTACAAGAAGAAGGAAGGAATCACTTCTAAAGAGGGCATGAAATTTAAAGCTCGGGTGGTTGCACGAGGCTTCTCGCAGAGGGAAGGAGTTGACTACAATGAGATTTTCTCACCAGTGGTCAGACATACTTCGATCAGAGTGCTACTAGCAATAGTGGCACATTATGACTTGGAGCTTGAGCAGCTAGACGTGAAGACAGCTTTCCTACATGGAGAGTTGGAGGAAGAAATTTACATGACCCAGCCAGAAGGATTCGAGGTTCCTGGAAAAGAAGACTATGTTTGTAAGCTGAAGAAGTCCTTGTATGGACTTAAGCAATCTCCGAGGCAGTGGTACAAGAGATTTGACAGTTACATGCTTGAGCTGGGCTACAACAGAAGTCCATATGATTGTTGTGTATATCACAACAAGGCAGAGGATGGTTCGATGATATATCTAGTTCTGTATGTGGATGATATGCTCATAGCTGCGAGGTCGAAGTCTGATATCCAGAAGTTAAAGGGGCTTCTCAGTGCTGAGTTTGAGATGAAGGATTTGGGAGCTGCTCAGAAGATCTTGGGTATGGAGATTTACAGGGACAGGTCGAAGAAGAAGCTTTTCTTGTCACAGAAGAGCTACATCCAGAAGATATTGTCAAGGTTTGGCATGTCTTCAGCAAAGCCCTTAAATACTCCTAGTGCTTCAAATGTTCATCTATCCTCGGCTTATGCACCGCAGTCAGAGGCTGAGAAGGAGTACATGTCGAGAGTCCCATATGCTAGTGCAGTAGGTAGCTTGATGTACGCTATGGTATGCACTAGACCTGATCTTGCACATGTTGTTAGTGTTGTTAGCAGGTTTATGATACAACCTGGGAAGGAGCATTGGCAGGCTATGAAGAGGATCTTCCGGTACCTTAAAGGTACAACTGATGTGGGGATTAGCTTCGGAAGTGATGCAGAGTGCTTGGTGTCTGGGTATTCTGACTCGGACTATGCTGGAGATGTTGACACGAGGAGATCGATGACCGGTTACGTATTCACTCTTGGGAGTTCTGTAGTGAGCTGGAAGGCAACTTTGCAGTCGGCGGTGACATTGTCTACTACTGAGGCAGAGTATATGGCGTTGACAGAAGCTGCTAAGGAGGGAATATGGTTGAAGGGACTGGTTGGTGATCTGGGTCTACATCATGATCAGGCAGTGGTGTATTGCGACAATTTGAGTGCAATATGTTTGGCCAAGGATCAAGTCCGCCATGAGAGGACTAAGCACATCGATGTGAGGTATCATTTCTTGAGGACAGAGAAGAGGATTAAGGTGAAGAAGGTTGGCACTGCGGATAATCCTGCTGATATGTTCACGAAGCCAGTTCCACATGGCAAGTTCCAACACTGCTTGGACTTGCTGAATGTCTTGAGTGGGTGACTCCGCCCTACGGGGCATTGATGGCGGGAGAGAGAGAAGGAGCAGAGTACATCAGAGATTTCAGAGGAAGAGGATTCAAGTCAAGGTGGAGATTTGTTGATATGACTTGAATCGGACTATCAGCCGCTACCACGGTGTATGGGCTCAATGTTATTTGGGTTCGGGTTCTGGGCCTGGTCTGTAACCGTTTCCTTTGCTAGATTGGATTAGGTTTAGACCCACATGGAGAAGTACTATAAATACTTCTCATACTCCTCTGTAATCTGTAATCTCCTTGATATAGTGAAATCGGCTCTCTCTCGCCCGTGGACGTAGCTAACACACATCGTGTTAGTGAACCACGTAAATCGTGTGTCGTGTTTTCGATTCTCGCTTTCGTATTCTTGCTTTGTCGATCCCGGCGATTTCCCGATCCGTAGCAGCGCGTTTATAACAACAGGGTTGAAGGGTTAGTGAGAGAACTCTATTGAAAATTGTTGTCCGAGGATTCTCTCAGTCGTGAGGACTTGAATAAAGAACATCGAAGGGGCCGCCTTCTCAAGACAAGGGTGTTGGTTGTTCTTGACAATGTGCACACTCCTTCACAATTAGATGAGTTGCTTTCATAGGAAGCATCGGACCCCAGAAAGTTGTTTGCTCCAGGGAGCAGAATCATCGTGACCACTAGAAATCGAAGGGTGCTTGAGCATGTTAAGGCAGAAATACACAGTGTTTGTCCACTCGATGTTGATGAATCTCTTCAACTTTTCAAACTGTGTGCTTTCTCACTTGGCTCTCCTGTTGATGAAGATGATGAGGACGGTGGTCGAAATGATGATTTGTCACACAAGGTTGTATCATACTGCAACGACAACCCGTTGGCCCTTACAGTTTTAGGGGGATGCATTGTCATATAAAGACAACAAGTATTGGGAGAACTTCCTTCTCAAACTGGGCAAAACTCAAGAAGCAACAATTCATCATGTCCTTCAGATAAGCTATCAAGAGTTGAGATATGTTAAGGATAAAAGATTGTTTCTTGACATCGCTTGTTTCTTCTCGGGGAACTGGAGATCTTTATTAGTAAAGTATATGGAAACTGTTGATGAATCTGCATATAGTCGAATAGAGGATCTAATCGGCAAGTCCTTGTTAACCTCTGTGTTCGACCAGAGTGAGGGTGAGATACTTGTCGTGCATGATTTGTTAAAAGATACTAGAATCAATACCCACAGCTACACCGCGGGGTCTAAACTTGCAGCAAGATCATCATTTAGAATCCATTTGTACCTAGTCTATCATACACTATATGTGTTCTCATAAACCAATCTCATTGGTTAAGTAAGATGGCAGCTGAGATGTGAGAAATTGAAATATAGATGTTCTAAGATCGATGATAGGTGCTCAAAGAGAGAAGGAACTTAAAATTAAATAGAGACCATGTAATATCACGAAAGAAGAGAATTCAATCAACTTGGCACAATGGGATTTGTTATGTGAATTAATGAAATGGATCACCAATATCTTCAAATAAAGTTACAAAGAGGTTATGAATTTAAATAATGATTAGACCGATATGAACCACAAATTAGTCAAAGGACCTAACTTTACTTATCTCTTAGAACCAAGCAATATGTTGAAACTCCAAAATTTTTTCAATAATATGAGATTTTGTAAGCAGACACTATTTGTAAACAATTAAAAGAGCAAAAACCTTAAAAACCAAATGAGGAATTCTACTCTACAAACATATAGCTCAAACTGGAACCGTGCATATGAGGAATGAGGAAACTAAAAAAAAGGGAAATTTGTTTTTATCTTTGTTCCAAATAACCTCTAGGAAGAAGCAATGCAAGAGGCTTGGAAAAAGGCGAACGAAGAGTTGAAGCAATAAGGCAGTATCACAAACTCCACCAAACCACCAGAGATTCCAAGTACTAATTAATATTCCTCGGAAACAACATTTTCTCTATAGTCACTCCATGAATCAAAATCGCTGAGAAGTGAGAAGAGAACAGTTGCCACAATTTAAGACCAACACACCTAACTTGGATGAACTGGCATCAACCACCAAAGAAACAATGCAACAAACACAACATAAACATTGATTTATTACTATTTGTCGTCCAATTCTCTTCATCTCCCTCTCCCTTATCTATTTCCAGATAGAGCTAGCATATTCGCCGATAACATTGCTGCAATATGCATGAATCGTTGAGAAATATCAGCCGTAGGTTCACACGATAGGGGTGCGACACAAACTTTGCATACTGCATCAATAACTCACCATCTCCAGGCTCCACTTGTGTTGCTCTGTGGTAGTATTCCTCAGCATCAGGGAGATCTCCCTTGGGCTGAAATAATCCGGGGAAAATGGTATTAGAGTCAGTTTTGCCCTGCTTCAATTGAACATGATCCAAGCATGCAAATAGAGCAGATTTTTCTGTAACCTGCAAGAGATAAGCATAATTTTGAGGAACAAAGGGTGGCTAAGGAAGGTTTGCAAGTGAGCAATAGAGCGATCTTGGTGAGTCTCCACTACCAGTTGTAGCATTCCCAGTAGCAGTAGCAGAAAACCCAAAACTCCAAGCATCCTTCTTTCCCCAGCTAGAGGAGCCATGACCAGACACAAAGTTTATTTTTTCGGCTGCAGCCATGACAACAAATTTCAACCACTGCAAGCTAGTAAGAGCCTAAAATCAAAGAACTGTGAATTGTCAAGTAATTTCAGCTGCAGTGTCATTTGACACTCCTAGAGGCATAGCAGCGGAAGTTCCTGACTCTAAAAAATGAGTAGGTTTACATTGAAGGGAAACCCAATTACTCCTAAGGATTGAGTTGATAAAAATCAAATACTCATAACCAAAGCGCTGGCCATTTTAATTTCATTAGATCAATTTTATCCACCGAAAGCTTTGCACTTTAAATCAAATACATAAGTATCCACCATCCCCAACCATATCCCCTTAATCCCAACCAATGACAGTTCCCAGTGGGGGTCCCACCTAAGCACAACTTCACGTCACTTGAAAGTAACTAAAAAACTTAAACTTGCATTAAAGAGTTAAAAAACCATTTTGATCGATGGCAGAATGAAAGTTGAAAATGGAGACCCCAAAAAGCACATATCTTAACCGTTTAGAGCTATCGGTTCAATTCACCTCAAAGCACTTCCAATGTGTATATAAATTTACAACTTAAAGCGCTAAAATGCAAGCTATTCACTGTTCGCATCAATTGAAAGAAAAAAATAAGTTTCGCCATAAGCTTAAATTCATAAGCTATTTGAAAGTGCTTAGACTTCTTACCTAAGTTCATTTGACCAAATGCTTCTCACCTTCCAACAATTTTCACTGCTCTGCTAGTTTGAAAATTCGTTCAGTAAATATCTTCTAAATTCTCCACTACATCTACCGTCCAGCATTTGGCAATTTAGTTGGTGCAGTTTCATTGCTCAGCGGACTTGAGTAAATTATTTGTCTCAACCTGATAGATGGATATGGAATGACATGAGATGAGATGAGATGAGATGAGATAAGCGGTCAATAGTTAAAACAACAGAAGGAAAATGAGGTATCTGGATCCTCGAATATGCTACCTGAAATTCATTTGACACTTGACAGTAGGAAGAGGCAGAGATCATAGAAGGATTTTCGAATTGAGATTTCACATTCTTGAAGGAGAGAAGGAATAGAATAAGACTAACATAGGAGCCATCACAGTCCAATATCTGGAACCCTACAAACACAGTCAACAAAAATAAGGTGGTCGTCACAAAGATTAGAAGTAAAAATAGAGCTGCATGGTACAAAAGAACGAAAAAACAAACAACCGAAAGATGCAAAGACAATTTGGACTTGTTGGGCAATGAATCCAAACCTCTAACAGGGAAATAAGCATTGGAGAAACTGGTGGATTTGACATGACTGAGACTCAAAGGCCAGGATGAGATGGAAAAGAGAAGAAAAACTAACCCAAATAACCCTCTATATCAACTGAAGCTTCACCTCTGCAACCAGTAGTGTTGGCCTGCAAAATTGAGTACCAGTAGAAGCTGAATGCCAAAACAAAGCCAAATATCTCACAGGCAGAGAATGGTTCCTGGCCTCTGAAACCAATTTAATCCACACTAACCCTTGTAAGCATACACGAAGGTTTGGGAATGATCAACGGAGGAAGGAATAAAGAGTTTTTAGATAGGAAACCATGCTCGACGGTGAGAGGTTTAATATACCTTCTCCTCCCTCTGGCCTAATTTCCCCTTCTCCTGCGTCAGATTTCCTGATGGTTTATTCTTCGACGTAGATCTCACTTCCTCTCGCGCACGACCAAGATCAGAGAGATAGAATTGAATCCTAGGCGGAGATGAAGAAAGAAAGTTTGAGGGAAAGGAGAAGTATTCTCTCGAAGAGTATGTGCGATTGCAGAAAATTATGGGAGCTAGGGCGTTGGAGTAGGTGTGTAGAGGTCGCAGTATCGAGAAGCAACCGCAGAGATGAGGGGAAGGGATTGCAGATTTTGGATCAGTCCTGAGAGGACATAATGCAGAAAGTATGGCGCAGTGTGAAATTTGACGAAAGTAAATAACATTTTGTTTAACGTGGCTCTTCCTCACGGTGTGCGAGGCTTACGTTCACGGGGAAAGATTGGGATTCTTATTTCATGGTGCGGCCAAAGGCCTTACATATATACTTATACCCTATGCTACGTACATCAACTAGGGCACAAGATGGAGACATAATACGTGAGGGAGAAGGACTCCCTACAGCAGCCGAACATGGTTCATGGTCTGCATGGGCCGATGTTGTCTGGCCCAATACTCCCCCGCAAGCTGAGGCGTGAAGGTCACGAACACCCAGCTTGGACAAGAGAAAATGAAACTGCTCCCTTCCAAGTCCTTTGGTGAGTATATCGGCAAGCTAGAGCTCCGAGCGGACCTTGATGGGGAGAATATCATGCGATTGAATGCGTTCACGAACAAAGTAACAATCCTTCTCAACATGCTTAGTGCGCTCTTGGAAGACTGGATTGTTGGCTATATGTAGAGCAGCTTGACTGTCACAGTGGAGAGGAGTAGGATCGACTTGGGGAACACCTAACTCTGAAAGAAGCCATCGTAGCCACAAAAATTCACTAACCGTGCTAGCCATAGCACGATACTCAGCTTCAGCAGAGGAGCGAGCAACAACTCGCTGTTTCTAGGTGCGCCAAGAGATCGGTGCGCTACCAAGACTAATAAAATATCCGGAGGTACACCGTCTAGTCTGTTCACAACCTCCCCAATCCGCATCACAATACGCAGTAAGACGGAGCAGATTATCGGTAGGAAAAAATAACCCTTGCCCGGGAGACGCCTTGAGATAGCGAAGAACCCGATGTGCAGCATCCAAATGCTGTTGACACGGGGCATTAACAAACTGGCTCAGGATGTTCACCGCATAGGTGATGTCAGGTCGAGTAACTGTGAGATATAACAGACGACCCACAAGCCGCCGATAGAGCGATGGGTCTGTGAGGACATCTGTGCTAGGACGAGTGAGATGGTGGTTTTGTTCCACAGGAAAAGCACTAGGACGAACACCCTGGACACCTGCATCTTCAAGGATATATAGAACATACTTGCGTTGACTAAGAACAACGCCTGTAGTAGTATGAGCAAACTCAATGCCCAAGAAATACCGGAGAGAACCCAAATCCTTGATGCTAAATCGCTGATCCAAGAACTTCTTAACTCGAGATATGAAGGATAGGTCGTTGCCGGCCAGAATGACATCATCTACATAAATAAGGGCAGTGACAAAGGTGCTGCCCTGATTGTAGATGAACAGGGAAGCATCCGCAGGTGAGGAGCGGAATCCAAACTCACAAAGTGCTGCGGTGAACTTGTGGTACCAGTTACGAGATGCTTAACAAAGACCATAGATGGATTTATGAAGTCGAAAAACCCGAGTGTCACCAGGTGCACGAAATCCTTGAGGGATCTCCATATAAACTTCTTCCTCAAGATCACCGTGTAAGAAGGCGTTATTAACATCCAATTGATAGATGTGCCACCCGTGATTGACCGCTACTGCTAGAAGGCAACGAACGGTGACTAGCTTGGCCACATGAGCAAATGTGTCATGGAAATCGAGACCTTCGATTTGATTATACCCTTTTGCCACAAGACGAGCTTTATAGCGCTCAATGGTACCATCCGGGTAGTACTTGATCTTGTAAACCCACTTTGAAGATATAGCACGCTTCCCAGGAGGAAGAAAAACGAGGATCCAAGTTCCATTTTTCTCTAAAGCAGCAATCTCTCGTGCCATGGCCTCGCGCCAGCACGCCTCGCTAATAGCCTGGTAGAAGAAACGAGGTTCATCGAGACGCGTTTGAGCTGCAATGAAAGCACGATAAGTGGGTTTAAAATGTTCATAACTCACGTAATTTGCAAGAGGGTATTCAACGAGATGAGAAGTACTTCCCTGTGTGTTATCAGACGAGAAGGTGGTGTCATAAATGGCGAGGTGCTTGGGGCGTCGACGATCTCTATCGATGCGCCGCAACTTGAGAACGAGAGCTAGACTAGGTGCTACAACGGGAGGCTGCTGAGGAGAATCGGGCCCGCTGGGGCCAGACCCAGAAGTGGAGGAGGCTGTGGGCCCTGATTCGGAGGGGAGATGTCCCGGGCTAGACAGGTACACAACAAGGGGGTGGACTCATGGGCCTCTGACGCCCGCGAATCCGAATCCGGCCCATGCTGTGACGGGCTCATTTGTTGAGTTGGCAGCCCCGCGTCATGCACAGGGGAAGCTTCAAAGGTGTCCTCGATCGGCTGAACAAAAGGACGAGGCACCCAATGAATCTATTGCTCAGTCCCATTTTGGAATGGGAAGGTAGTCTCGCGGAAGTGCACATCATGAGAAGTCAGCAGGCGACGAGGGGATAGATCGAAAATTCGATAACCCTTTTGGCTAGTGGCATAGCCAAGAAAGACCCCAACACGTCCCCGCTCGCCAAACTTGTCAAGGTGAGCGTGTGTATCCTTGTAATAGACAAGACAACCGAACACACGCAGATGTTTATAAGTCACTGTCTTCCCAAACAGAAGTTCATAGGGCGTTTTGCCAATAGCCTTTGTTGGAAGACGATTAATGAGGTAAACTGCCGTGAGAATACATTCGCCCCAGAACTTCACAGGAAGACTTGCTTGGAAACTCAAGGCGCGAGCAGTGTCAAGAATATGTCGGTGCTTTCGTTCGACAACCCCGTTTTGTTGTGGAGTGTCGGAGCAAGATGTCTGCAATAAAATTCCCATGTGAGCATAATGATCATTAAGAATATTGGTGTTCAACTCACTCCCGTTGTCGGCCTGTATCCGTCGAATAGAGCTGTGGAATTGGGTGCGCACCATGCTGCAAAATTGCATCAAACATTTTCCAACATCCGACTTGTAACGCAAGAGATA